GATTGTTTAAGGTTGCAACCTTATAGAAACCACACCCTTAAAATCCTACTTTTGCAATTAACTTTGCAACCCTCCTCCTACAAGTAAGAGTGCAACTTTTATGAACCGCTCCAAAACTGACCAATATTCACTCCAAAGGGCAGTCCGAGAATACACAACTCGAACCACCTTATATCTTTCTATGGTATTCTAAGCGAATTAAGTGGTCCGAGATTGGCATCTTTGGACCGCGGTGATCATTCGAGTCTGGCTCGCATGCATGTTTATAATTTCGGATGATAGGGACAGGCATTGGTTCAATGGGATGCCTAGTAAGTCATGATCAAAGAATTCAATAAGTATTAAACACAAAAAATAAAATACAAACATAATCATACAAGTGAGAATTATTACTTAATCCTAGTTGATGGACCACATGATAGACTTGCGTCATCCACTCTTGGTTGATGATCCTTATGCGTTGGTTTTGAAGATTGGTTCAAAACACATAGGTGAATACTAGAAGTACTAGAGCGTACATGTCACATCTCCATCCTCGTTTAATTCTAATAAATCGTCGTTTTCTTGCGACATAATTATTAATTACTTGAGTCTCAGTGCACAATACTTGTCATATATGCCTTCAATCGCTCCAATGAGTGTACAATGTGGCTTTTACATTCCGGCCTTATAGATCTTTCCGTCATTTACATTTACTATGATATGGGGTGAAGACAAATTTTATTTTCACTAAATAAGTGTTTTGATGTGATGAGAGAGAATGTTTGTTATGAGGGTTAGATTCCAACTATGGTCCCTTCAATTTAAAACCACACATGCCACACAGACTTGCACGGGTGAGGTATCCAATATGTTTGTGTACCCATTGTTACATAAGTCGCATCAAAAAATGTGATCCACTCCTCTATGCATAAGTATCTCAAACCATGCCGACGCTATGGGCATCATTGTATGGCGATGACATTAGGGGTGGCAATGGACCTAGACCAGACTGGGACTGAAGGGGTAGATCCGATCCAGATTTATGTAAAGATCAAAAAATGGGACCCGACAGGTCTGATCCAGGCTTAAATCTTGGACCGAAACACTATTCAGATCAAGGTCCGTATCCGAGACCGTGTCCAGTAATATCTTTCGAATCTCAATATATAAAATATATTTGAATATAGTTACATACATAGATATTTTAATTTTTGGGTCAAGTTCAGGTTCAAGTTCCATACTATATTTTCAAGTCAAGGTCGGGTGAATTTAGGTCCGGTGGGATCTAGGTATAGGCCCTATATCATTTTTTTGGGTCCCAGTTGACGCGTGGCCACCCCTACCAAAATACAACTTGAAAAGCCAAAACATTTCATACTCCCCAGGGAGCACGCTATCCATTTATTCCCTTGGACAAAATCAAATGAATGATTATTTTCATGATCCCAAATTTTGGGGGTGGGGATGTAGCCTCTTCAACCAATATGTTATAATCAATAAAAAAAATTCCAAATCATTCTCTAGGGATTTCAAAAAATTTAAAATATTGCATAAAAACCGTCCAATTTTTCAAATGCGATATCTTAGGTTCAGAAAACTCAAAATTCAAAATTTTTTTTTTTCTTTTTGAATATAATTATCTAGGGATTTTCAAGTAGTTCTCAAAATTTCAGATCAAAAAAATCTTTCCAAGTTAGTCTTCTACCCGAGGGAGCAGGTGTACAGTGCGCTCGCACGAGTGCATGGCATACGTGCTTACAAGATGACTACTTCAATAACCACACAATGTGCAAATGCCTCCACTCTAGTTTTAAATGAAATATTCGGATTTTCTAAAGGGGGATTTGGATGGATCAAGTAGGAGTGTTATTGGCTAGCATTGATCACGACTGAGTGAAAAAACATTCATTTTGTTCCGAGGCAAATGGGGCTTATTGTCTGTGGCGTTTCTCAAACACGCAGGGTTCGATTACAGACACACAATTATAGAGCGGATCAGTTCCCAAATTAGTGTGTTCAAATATTAGAACTAGTTATGTTTAGTGGTCCAATCAAACTGCAGCATATGAATAACAGTTCATTGAAATCTAGTGTTCTAAAGCCCGACTATCTAGATAAGGAATGGCCAAACCAGATCAAAATCAATGGGTGGGCGATCCAAGTCCCGGGTCCCCCCATCACGGAACTTCCCAATATTAAGTTTTTAATCATTCATTTTTTCTGATTCTCAAGCGATTCAACGGATTTGGATTACCAATTTGGGCAATCCAAGCAGGTAGAGTGGATTACCTAGTTGATCAGAATTTTGAAGTACAATTGAAATATATAAAAGAAATGGCAGAAGATATTTGAAAGAAAGGATAGCAAGGGATTTCCCCTTTCATGTATACATATAAGGATTATAAATTCCATTTCTGAGATGAGATTCTGAAGAAAAGGATGGTGCAAAACTCAAACGAAGAATCAGCCAGGAAGGGATAAAATTGAAGAGTAAATAACAACGAAATGCTTCACATTCTAAGGCGCGATACTGAGCGGGCATGCCTGTATCCTTTCAGGGCAGGAGTGATTGAGATCCAGTGATCAGAATGCTGCCCATCCGGAAGCTGTGGTTTTTGCCGAGGCTGATCCAGCTGTAGAAGGCAGGCTCCTCTGCAAATGCAACCGTTAGAATGCTTCCCATTCAAAACTTCATGCAATCAGGACTCGTATGGGTGTGTTTATGTTTGTACAAGAGAGAGATTCTTACCCATCAACGCATGAGAGAGAGAGAGAGATTAACCTAACAATCCATGGGAGAGATATCTTTACCCATATATGTAGCAAACCATGCATGATTGTGAGAGAGAGACAGATCTATACACAGCGTGTGTGAAAGAGAGAGAAAGGGAGACTACCTATCTAAGCATCACAGAGGCAGATTTACCTGTCCATGCATGTGTCTGTGAGTGAGTGAGAGAGAGAGAGAGATTTAACTAACAATGCATAAGAGAAACATAGAGGTTGGCTGATCTATGCAGAGATAAACAGAATTACCAATCCATGCATGAGAGAGAGAGAGAGAGAGAGAGAGAGAGAGAGAGGCACAACGGTAGCTTGCAAGCCTGCTGCATGTGTATACAAGCCTGCGTTTACATGATCAATCCAAATTCAGCTCCAATTTGAGATCAATCCAAGACCATGTGGTGTAAAACTCCTGGAAATTTCAGCCAAACATAGCTGAAATTTTCAGTTAAAACTTTTCTTTCCTTTTTTCTTTTTTGAAATGAAATTTGTGGCTAAATCTTCATCAACATTTTTTTACTAAAAGATTGGAGCCCCATTTTGGTCTTAGAGGGCAAATCCAAGAACGCCATCTCGTGGGCTTCAGGAGTCTGACCATGCTCATGGCGACTGGAGCACATTTTTTACAAGATTTTCAATTTTATGCAGGCCTATGTACATCTCCTTGTGACATACGTGATGCAAGGAAAATTCCGAAGCCGATAGCCTCACCAAGGACGGATGCAGGAACTGCACCGCAGAACTTTCCGGCACCTTTTTGCGTTTTGGGCCCTGGAGGATTTCTTTCCGCTTATGGACATTACACTGGACACACAGCATTTTTCAAATGTATAGAACTTCTTAACAAAAAAACTTTTTCTTGGTTTTGTACAGAGCACCCGATCAGTGGGCTGCCACACCCTTTTTGTATTACAATTTTAAGCTTAATACAACCGTGAACACACTAAAGAAAAACAATTCTACATCACACAACCAAAACTGTTGCTAAAACCAAAATTTCAAAGAATAGAACAAACCATGGTAATACAAAAAGAAAAATAACATGCACTACTGTACTTTGGGACTAGGAACCAGGCCTCAATTGTCATTTGCAACACTCCATTCTGGGTTTGAATCTGATAGCTGACGTCCCCCAAAAAAATAAAAGAGAGATTACACACCATGGTAGCATCCTACTACACCTATCCAGGTGATTCCCATCCCTATACACTCCTCATCACTACCTCCTAATTTTCTTAGAGGGTTGTCAACTCCATAGGTGGACTACCTATGCACCTCTCCTTTTTCTTGAATTACAATGAGTTTACTCCATATCACTACTTTTCTAGTTTCTAAGTAAATCAGCAAACTCCAATTTCACATAGTTGTACAAGAAATTAGGGTCCTTCACATTGCAATAACCAACTGTTTCCCATAAGCTAGGGCTTGGACATGGAACCCACTGGAATCCTATCACCACATATCCTTTTATAAACCAACTCAGCCCCCATTCCCATTTACAAACCAACTCAACCCCCATTCCCCAACATAAAGACAATAATGGGAAATAAAATAAAATAAAATACTCCAATCCTAGCCTAATTTGCCAATAGGACTTTGGTCGCATGATAAGACATCAGCTTTTACTGAGGGAGGTCAAGGGCTCAACTCTTGAAAGTTTTGTCCCAATCACCAAAACAAGCTCGATACCCTTCTTTGAATCTTAGGCTAGTTCCCTTTCTTAAGGCTTCATTCCCAACTGGCTATAGCACCCTAAGCCCCAGAAGCACTAATAGGCCCACTAAGATCCATGAGAACTCTCTTTCCCACTCCCTCCACTTTATTTCCAAGCCACAGCCTCAATCCTCCTAACTCATTTTCTTTTGACAATAGACAAAGATTTCATTGACGACAGTTAAGGGGGGAGAAAAGAACCACATCCCCAAAACCCTAGCTCCCACTCCCCAATGGGCTAAAGCCAACTGCTATGGAATTCGCTTCCCCAAGAAACATTACAAAATTCACTAAAACCCATATTGGTATTCATTCCCCTAATTTCTCCCAAAAATCACTATGATCCCTAACAAATAACTAACTCCACCCTACAACACACATTTCAGAAGAATCCCCGAACCACCTAAACCTCTTCATTAATGAGACATCATATTGTAACATAACCACAAATAGCAGGCATTTATCCCCAAATCAGTCACTCCACCAGCCGACAAGCCTCACTTAACTCACCAAAAGGATCAACAGTCCCATCCTGAGCTATCCAGACACCCATCGGACTAACTTCATTATTCTCTCTACTCCTGAAATCAACATGCCTAACCCCATAAAGGCTTGAAATGCTCTTCACCTACAAAACATACAATGAACACAACGCATGCCAACCAACTTCCAGGTTCTTTTGCTAATCATGTTCATGCGTGTGTGCACACACTAGTGCAGAGTAAGAGTTATGAAACTGACAAGACCAGATAACTGCAGCTGTCCTTAAAATTTCAGCAGAGAATATCTAGAGAGAGAAAAAATAGGAGGAAGAAGCGAACCTCGATCTGAGAAAGAGTTGATAAGGGATCCACAGTTTTTCGAGCGCTATCCTTTGAATGACCAGAACCCATTCTAGCAGCAACAGGATCATTGGGTGGTGGTGGAAGAGGGGATCTGATCTTTCCAGACCCACTTGGAGGTGGCGCAAGGCTCAGTTTTGGTTTAGTGATGCCTGAACTGCCTCCTGAGAGACCAGCAGCAGAGAGCATGCCAGTTCCAGTTGACGGCTTGTTCTTCACATTGATTCGGATGGTCTCTCCTTCCTGTGAATAATGCATATGCATCAATAATCAGGATACGTATCGATAGTGAAAAGAACCCAGTCAAATAAGTCATGCTTTCTTTCTTCCTGTTCTTTTCTTTTATAAGGTCATAAGGTAGAGAGGATTGGGTGAGAAAGAAAGATAACAAAGAACTAAAAGAAAGAATGTCACTTCCATCTAATAAATGGTAAGAAAGACAACCAAAAAAAAAAAAAATGAGAGCCCAAGACTTAAAGAAACAACAAGAAAAATTTCCATATATCTCAAATACCAAATAAACAACTGCACCTTTAGCTGATACTAGGAGAAAAGGAAACCTTAATTTGGTATTGTGCATGCACTCGAATCTCATCCAGTGATTTGCAGTGTAGTTTGTCACTATGTCTTAATATTGACTTGTTTATATTTTTATGCCAGCCAAAGTAAATCCAATGATATGTCAAATTTACAAGTATTTTTCAAGGCCTGCAACCAACTCATAACCTATCAAACATTACCAACACAACCAAAGATCTGGATAACTCAAGAATCTAAACTCCACCTAACCTTGTTCAAATGAAATGAAGCACCTAGATGTTGAAGCCTTGGTTACATATACAAAGCAATAACAAGAACCTAAATGGGGTCCACCAAAATAGGAAAACCCTATCCAGTGTTACATTGATGCCAACACGTGTGGTTATCTAATACATATTGGGGTGTCAAGAATCTAAACTCCACCTAACCTTGTTCAAAGGAAAGATGTTGTTACCTTGGTTGCATATACAAAGCAATAACAAGAACCTAAATGGAGTCCACCGAAATAGGAAAACTGTATCCAGTGTTACATGGACGCCAACACGTGTGGTTATCTAGTACATATTGGGGTGTCTAGCAAGTGGGACAAAGAGCTAGTACTTCTCCGATATGTCCGTCCAATATATAGGTCAAATATAATATAATAAAGATATCTAATCACATTGAGGTGTTCGTAGATTTGACCACTTTTTATACTTCAAGTACACGGTTCCATCCCCATGGGTTACGTTTTATGTTTTACATATTGAGTAACTTGATAGTTTGGATAAGGCTCGGATGATGATGATGCACCTTTTTCTCATATTGACAAGCTGATAGACTACACCATGCTCATGTACGACGATAGGTGTTCAACCCCATGAGCTTGCTTTTTCATACAGTGTGTATTTACATTCTTAATTGAAAAAAAAAAAAAGAAGAACTCAACAAAAGAAAGGTTTAATTGCAGGATTAGAATCCTGGACCTTTTGAATTACAATGTGAATGTTGGCAAAACCACATAGGGTGTTGATACGTACTCCAAAGTTGATGATGTCAGCATACAAATATCGACTCATATGAATACGCGACACCAAGCCAAAGGCAAGGTGTCTAGGTAACAGTAATCCTAATGGAATAAGTCCAACCATCCGGCACTCATGATGATGCCATAAGTATATTCATGCATAGAAAAATATCTCCAAGCAACAATGAGGCATGGCAAACTAACTAAATATTGACAGGAGACGTTCTTTTTTTTATTTCTTCCTCTGACATGCAAGTTTAGGCAAGCCTAACTGTCTTTGCCCAAAAGGAATAGAGAATCCACATCAATAAGCAAATGTTATAGAGCTGTACTGTAAACAGAGCTAAATGAAAATTCATGATACAAATGGTGAGATACAATCACAAAAAGAGATACAAGACGAGCTGCTACGAGGAAAGAAAGTAAGTTACAAAAGAAGCAAGATTATGAGGAAATGTCGGAAGATGCTGCACCAAAAATGGTCTAAACCACTAAAATTGCGAAGGAAAAGAAAATGCGAGAAGAAATGAAGCAGTACCCCATTAACTTAGATAAAAACATCTCCAAGAAGCATACATCACTCAAAAACAAGCAGTCATTAACATGCGTTTAATCCCTCAAAGTAACAGTTCTACAATTCTATTTAGTTAGAATTCAGAAATGTAACTCTTTTTTAAGGGTTTTAGTTAGAAATAAAACTCAACATAAAATAACATCAAAATCTGCAGAAAATGGTCTTCCAACACGAGAGGTCCGAGGTTCTCCACAAGAAGTTAGCAAGATGATCATGAGGATTTAGTTAAATACCATCAAATTCCGACTAAAATACAAAAGGTTGAGTCACAGTAAGTGGAGGATAAATCTGATGGACCAAGGAAAATTATGGTGCATTTGGGATCATCAGTGCCCAATGTGATGATGGCGTAGGATCAAGGGAATGCAACATGTTAGAATAGGACATAATTTTTAGTGGTGGATTCTACCCTCTCCAACACCATCCATCATTTCATTGGATGATATTTACCCTAATGGATAATGACTTCCAAAGCCCCTTCGAATTTTTTTTTTTGGGGGGTAAATGATTATAATGCACTTGCCCCACAGAAAATGTACCACATACAGATGAAATTCAAAACTGATACTTGGCCACGAATGTGGCACCCTGATACGCAACACTTAAGCTCTGTACTCCAAGCATTTACATTTTGCTATACATGTGTTACTTTTTGGAACAAAAAAGATGTCAGACTGAAATTTAAAAAACCATTATCGATCCCCGAAAAACTTTTAAAAGTTAAAAGCCCATTTCAAAAAAACCTGAAAGTTGAAACATGCTATCCTGGTCCTTACTAACTTCTATACACCTCAAACCTTCTTAGAAATTTGAGAGCTATAAAAGGATCAAAATTGTCTTTATAAAAAATTGTTGATTTGAGAACAAACATATTTAAAAACAAAAAAAGGGTCGTAACCCAGTACTAGTCCCGCCTAAGCAAGGCCCAGGTAAAGGCGGGCTGGTGGGCTGGAAACGATTCTAACCTTTGGCTTGGGCACAAAGTGGCCACTCTCAAGACTTGAACCCGCACTCTTGCGCTGGCTACCCGAGCCTTTTACCATCACTTGGTGAGACGGCCACTAATTAAAAAAGGAAAGAAAAAAAAAAAAGAAGCAAATGTTTATGCAATCAAATTATAATTCTTTTTATGGTTTTGTTTCATTTCCAGTCACACTCAAAATATCGGAAACCCATTTGAGAGTTCAATTGCTGCATTCGCAAATAAGAAGTAACATTTACTTTTTTTATATTTTTCAGAATGCATATCTATCATGATATAATTGTCATCATCTTTGCAACAATTAGAACATTTGGTCAAAGTATAAAGGAACACCTAATTGAACCCAAAGGAAAAAATATATCATAATTTGGGATTAGCTAACAATAAAAAGAAAAATTGGGGGAAGCGGAGGGAGAATGGACAACCATGGGCAATACGGCATCCCTAAATCCAACAGTATGAGTAATACAAGAATGCCCGAATGACAATCAGGCAGAGGTTAGGGCATATAAAAGCAGTAATTAAAATACAATTTTATAGGCGGGGCATTAGATGCCTCTGTTTGCCCTTGGCAACTTGAACATATTTTTGAGCAAATTTCCTATCTATGCAGGCATATTTCCACCTGCTTTCGACACACATGGGAGAGGCCAACTCTGGTGCAACTCCTTGCCAAAGATTAAGCGACATCAGGAAACCACACAGGAACCATTTTGGTACCTTTTTGAGCAGTGGTTCGGAAGTTTTTTTAGTTTTTTGGAGATTCTTTAAATAATGTACAGTGTGCTTTCATTAAGCCCCATTTTTGTAAAGATTCATTATGAAGAGAGCACCCCGATTGTCGATTGCCAAATATTTTTGTAATCATTAACTTAAAGAAATACAAATGAAAACATTTCAAATAAAATAAAATAAAACGGAGAAATGAGGCAGGAACGCCACTATGAGATCTAGAATGAAATTTACGACATGGGAAGAGTTGAAAACAAGGGAATAGTGCATCTGAGGGCAAACAACCAAGGAGAATATGAGGATGTCCATTAAGAAACAAGAATGTATCAAAACAATGACGTTTCACAAAATTTATCAATAACTAAATGTCTAGTGTATCATGGATCATGTGGTATGAAATCACAATAAAATTATGTCGTTGGTTGGAAAAACCACGGAATTTGCAATACCTTGGGGTCTAATTTGGAGGGAAGTTGAAGGAGTTAGAGTAGATGAAATGAAACAATAATGGAAAACAACAGCTAACAGAAAATTCCTTACAGGTAGGCTAAGGGCTTCATTGAGCAGGACACAATAAAATCTCTTGAAACAAAAACGTTCATACTTCCATTAAAAACCCACAGCCACATAGAAATGGAAGGATTATTTAAAGTCAGCCAAGGATAGTTCGATACTTTGGCATCCTTAGTGATACTTGCAAAGTGACTGGGGCATAAACAAGAACGCCTTGATGAGTTTGAGGGTCTTATTCCAATTTTACTTGAGTCCCCTGAGGTAGATGGTGAGTCACTAAATGTTATCAGATTCGTTCTACATGTGGTGACGAACCACTGGAGAATGGCTAATATTGTGGAAGATCTACCAGTCTAACTGAATGAGCATCCATAGTCATCTAATGAGATGGCATACTCTTTCCACAGGGTGACTTGGTAGAGAAACCCTATTTATCGGGGACAATTTTCACCTCCTTGACATCGGTTTCCAGCATTTGTCCTTTGGTTTGCACTTGATTTGACATAAATATATATTAACAGCACTAGAGCTTGTTAACTAAAACAAAAGAAAAATACATATCAATGTCCACTGAAAGGCATCATCTACACATCAGTGAAATAGTCAGAACAAAAACAAATCAGAATCAGGTGACACGAATTTCATATAACATCATATAACACGCATCACAAGCCCATTAAAAATCGAGTTCAATCGGGGCCAAATAACACATGGTCTTTCTTATTAAGTAATACCTTTGGGTGATGATTATGAATCATCTAGACAATGCATAAAAACTAATTATCCATTGTTTTTCACTTACTGGACTAGTAAAATAGACATATCAATGCAAAATTCAGAAAGCATTTGCGCTTGCCCACATATGCATATTACAAAATAACACTCAAGACATCATATAAATTACCCATAAACCATATATATACAAATTTCAAGGAAAAACAACACACGTGGCGAAAAACATGAACCTCATCAAAATGAACCAGAATCAAATGACCCAACAGAAAATTAGCCACAATCAATACCAAATGACTAGTTTTTCCCCTTCTTTTTGGAGTTTTTAAGAACAGTTAAATAGCTTTCAAGAGGCCCAACACACCTTCAACCTATGATTCAAAGCATTCATCAAAATTAACCAGAATCACATGACCCAACATCAATTTAAACAGAATCAAAAGCGATTTCCCCTTTTTTTTCTATTTTTTTTCTGGGTTTTAATGAAATATTCAGTTTTTAGGAGAACCAACATACCTTCAACCTTTGATTCACAGCGGGGTGAATATCAATGTGACTATCATCACTCTCCTCGCCACTTTCTCTCTCATTCTCCCTCTTCACATACTTCTCATGATCCGATAAAGCCACATTGAAATCGAATGCCTCATTTCTCTCTGCAAATCCGAGACCAATAAAAGCATGTTTTCCACTCCCATCTTCGATCTTCAGAACAAAGTATCTAGATGAATCAAGAACTGTTTCAACTGAATTCTCTCTCTGGCCTGGAAGAACAAAACAAGCAGCAAAGAGCTCGCATGTGTTGGGGTCTTCGAGCCTGATCTCGCACCGATCTTTGCAAGACACCACTCTCAATCTACCTGACCAAATCTTATCAGATTGGAGCCATTCCCCACATTTATACCCACCACTGGTGCTTCTAGGTGGGATTTTGTACACAGAGACTTCTCTCACTACGAGGAGGGTGTGCTCTAGGGATTCCTCCTCCTCTGCAAATGACATAGTTAATCAGTGATTATGTCAATTGGGGTCGCAGGGAATTGATAGGAAAAGCTCTCCTCTCTCTCTTGTTAGGTAAAAAGGATTTGAAAGGATCTCTCTCTATCTCAGTTGAGTTGCATAGATTTGAAGGAATCTCTCTTTCTCTCTCTACTGGGTTGCAGAGATTTGATGAAGAGATTTGGCTTTCTTTGCGTGAATTGAAAGAACAGAGAGCTGCCCTTTTCACATGGAATTTGGAAATGGATATATATTGGATCTGTCGATAAAGATTGGGTCTCCCTTTCACTCTAAGAATATTTGATCGCTCTCAGAAAAAAATTGACTCTCTGTTTTGCACATAAATATGGGAACCTAGAGAGAGAAACTTAGATTTATCTTCTCTCTCTTCAACAATACAACGGGGACACATAAATATTGTAACCTAGAGAGAAACTAAGGTTTAGTCTCTCTTCAACAATGGTGAATTTATTAGGTAGAAGGATTTGCTGGATCTTTAATGAAAAGATGGAGTCTCTCTTTTCACTCTAAAAATATTTTATCTTAGAGAAATAAACTATAGAAACTAGTCTCTTTCTCTCTACCTCTCTTCACAATTGGGGAATTTATTAGGTATATAGATTTGATTGATGGGTTTCATAGTGGAAGGGAAGGTTTTGATGAGAAAAAACATTTTTTATTAAGTTATTATATTTAGAGAGAGCAGGGTTGTTAATGGGCTAGATTCCAGGTTGGCCAGCCCGGGCCGAAGCCTGCCATGAAACAATGTACGTAGACCAAGGACCGATCTAGGCCCAAAAATTAGTTTCAACTCGATTAGGGTTTAATGTTTACGGTTTAGGTAATTTGTATAGAGCCGAGGCTTTAAACAATCAAAGTAGGGGCCACCTTTGAATAGTGCCCACAGTTATGGTTTCAACATGAAAATCTTTGTAATAGCCTTAAAATATATTTTTATCTTTAATTATCAAATTTAAAACTTCAAAAATAGTGCAGATCAAGCAAATATATGAAAACTTGAAAACCTTGAAAATTAACAGTTGAAAAATATATTATTTCCAAAACTTAAAATCTATTTTTGTCTCATATCAATGTATCTTAATGTCGAGATGATCAATTTGAGGATATTTTGACATCAAAACAACCTCTTCTGTGAAAAGTTTGAGGTAGGTTAGAGCCTCAACTCTATATAAACTTTTCCCAATTTATAAAAAGGCAAGCTTTCTATGCTTCCCATACACCATAAAACTTCTATACTTCCCCCTATCCACCCCTCAATCCTAAATGGATGGCTTAATGGCCGGAATCACAATGTCACCCTCTATACCATTTTATTTTTTATTTTTTTTATATAAAACATTTTAACACCAAAATTCGGACGTCCAATCCTCTCTTAAACTCACACCTATAAAAATAGATTAAAAAAATATTCCTAATTAAATAAAATGAGTAAAATGCCCTTGAAAATTTTACGGGTATTTTGGTCATTGTATTTTATTAAAAATGATTTCTAATATTTTATTTAGATGCACCTCATTGACATGATGGCACGTACTAAATTTTATAGTCACATACTTAGCAAAAAAAAATTAAGAATAAAATACTATGAGACGTCAGATCTAAGATTAAATAGTTAGTGGCTCACTATATCTAATTTGACGGCTGGATCAAGGTGGAAGTATATATCGTCTATGCTATAGAGAAAGCATAGTGGGTCTCCAGAACTGAAAAACTGAATTTCTCACATGAAGATCACCAATATGCAAAAATATAAATAAGCTTTAAATTTTGAAAATAACATTTCTTAAAGAATAATTTTAGACGGTCAACTTTATTTTTTTTTTGCGAGACTACAATTTTTTGACGTCCATCATCATAATGGACGTTTGATATGTCAAGGAAAACTAATGTAGTGCCACATCCGCTAACACTCAGCCCACTTATTTTCAAGCCCGTGCCGGCCCGAGCCAATGCTGGCCAAATTAGGCTCAATACTATTTCGGGCCTAACAGGCCAAAGCAATGCCCGGCATGTGGGCCTTTACAATGCAGCCTGAGCCTAGCACAAAACAGGGCCCATCAAAGAGCCCTTGGGCCCGCATGGGCCCGTTAAAAGCCCTGAGGGAGAGGGCCGGTTTAAAGCAACGCGTTGGACAAAAACATAAAGTTGAATGATTATGATATCCTTGCCTAAGACCTAAGCAATTGAAGATACTGGGAAACTACCATGTGACCTTTTTTTTTTCTTAAATATTTTTAATGTTTTTTATCAAGTTTCTATGGATGACTAAAGTAACCTCGAAATCTTTATTCAAATGTGCTTTCTGAGTTTCCCTTGAATAAACATGGTTTCATTTGTTTAAAAGATTGAGCATAAGTTTTGCTCTTTTATATTTATATTCATTCTCATCACCGTTATTCGAGCTTTATTCTAACTATTTTGGGTCGGAAGCTCCACTCTTTTACATAAAAGTGCATTTGACATTTGAAATTTTTGGGAGTGGGAGGGATACTCCCACAAATTATAGAAGATTGTTCTTCTGTCATTTCTTATGGAAAGGAGGTATTCTAAAAATAAATCCTTAAACACTAAAAATAATTGTATGAATGACGTCTTTCCACTTTATAGCATCCACACAATAATATTAAAAACATTTAACTCCCACTTGTATAAACCCTCACTTATCAAACACGCCCTAAATGGTCCAAATATATAATTTTCATCATCATTACTATCGTCCAAAGCATAACTTTCGCGTAAAATTGAACGAAGGAGTTGGCACTCTTGGCTTGTGGAATTTCTTAAATTTTGTTGTGTGGTGTATATTGAGTATAGACATTTTTAACTTTACAGCAAAAAATTCTGAATATTAAGTTAGATAAACTATCATTAAAATGGCCAAACCATGATAAAAACTCTTCGAGGCAATCATATCAATTAATTTAACAACAAAGAGGTCATCTCGAAAAAATAATTTCATTGACTACTTTGTTAGAAATACCTTAAATGCCCATTCTTTAGATTGTGAAATTTAATAAACATTTGGTGAACCTACCCCATTTAAGTTGTATAGGCCGAATGATGTAAATGCCCATGTCATGGGCTTCAAACGGGTTTCATTTTGTTTCAATTGAGTAGCCAAATGAAATAATGGAACTTTTTTTTGGTTGAGTAAGTGGGGAGAGGGCCCCATTTGGTAGGAATTGAGCTTAGGACATAGAGCCTAGGCACTTTTTTAAAAACAATGAAACTATTTGCGAATCACTAACGTACAGGTCAGGTGGTGAGGATGGTGGGTCACCACAACATGAAATATTGAGCTCCATTCCTACCTTAAGTTGGGAGCGCATACCCACTGAAGTACTCAAAAATTTTAAAAATCTATTGTTTGAGATTTAAAATCCAAACCAAGTGATAGAATCCTTGTAATTTAGCCCAACTTATGTTACAAGACAAATGACCTAAACACCTCTACTAAGGCTCATTTTATGCCCTCTGTTTTTTAACAAACCACTCGGTAATGTGCTTGAATCAAATGATCTTACTAAAATAATCACATTATTAATAAAATGTCTAAAAATGATTTTTTGAGGTGGTTTGGCTCTCACGATTTCCCCTCTTGCTTTTCATAGAGCGGTAACAATGATTAAGAACCAAAAACCCACATTTAACATCCACCAATAAAAACAACGATAGTTAATTGTGCATTGAATAATATGGATGGTAATGAAGGAAAATTTATCAAAATACCCATGAGATGACGCCAACATTTTTTAAGAATGCCGACTTTTTGTTTATTATATTTGGAGCACCCCGTTCATGTGTAAATTTGAAGCTTAGGGTTCATTATACCTTTTGTTTTTAGATCCCTCAATCTGAACCGTTGAGCTCACATGTCCGCAAGATCTATCTCCCGAGTAAAATACTAGCATGCGTGCAAACACGTTGACATACGGACTTTGGAGAGTAGAAATAACAAATTCCAAGCCAAATGAATGACGGAAGTTGGAAGCATGTCCATAATAAATGATACCCCAACAAGGAATACTTCAACTTGTAATCTTATTCACTATTATTTATCACATACATGAAGAGAATTGAATGTATTGCCTGGTGGATCTCTTTTAAAATATGGAAACTTATTAAATTACATTTAAGATTTTAATTATTCGATATTGTGGCAATAACTTTAATTTAATTTTAAATAGTGTGTGGTTTCAATAAGTTAAGGCGCACCTATAAATTTTATCATAAATATAATTTTGATATAAAAAATTATTACAATGGCTTGAGAATCTATTTTCTTCTCTAGTTATATAACTTTAAACTCAAGAAATAGTCCAAATCAAGTAGATATATAAGCGCATGAAAATCTTGAAAATAGAGAATCCATATAATGTGTTGCAAGATACACCATTTTGTGGACTCGAAATCTTTTATTTATTTTTTCATATTTATACATCTTAATGTCAAGATGATCAATTAGAGCGTTTCCCACATCAAAACAATATTTTTTAGGTGCACATTTAATTCTATGTTTTAAGGTTGCAACCTCGTAGAAACCTTTTTTTTTTAAATACTATATTATCTTTTAATTATTTTTCAAAAAGCCCTTGAAATCACATCGGCAAAATGATTTGTAAAATAAAGGATGAGGTTTCTATAAGACTTGGGCTTTGTGAAAACAAAGTAAAGCCTCACCTCAAATCCTCATCCAAAAAGTACTTTTGGTGACAGAAATCGCTATGATGGCTCTAAAACCAATTTCCAACATTGTCAAAAAATTTGAAACTCGATAAATGATACAGATCTCGTGGATTTATGAACACTTATTTTTAAGGAAAAATGGGCGGTGTAGATGATTTGTTATGATATACACTATTTTTAAAACTTGAAATCTTAAATTTTTCGCAACCATAATGGTCAAGTCAAGATAATCGATCTAAAGGTTTTGCAATGCTCAACTTGCAAATTTCGATAAATTATGAAGTTAGGATTTACTTATTTTGACAGGGCTGCAGCCCTGTAAAACCATTTACCTTTGATAAATTTACCTTCAAAATATAATGCAAAACCCACTTATTAAGAGCATTTTAACATGAATATAAATGGGGGCAAATGTGTAGTACCAAACAAGGGAGCATGGACCACAAATAATCCTATGGATTTGGTAAAAAAAAGAAGAAAAAAATGGATCTCAATCCCAAGTTGTACTTTTGGCTTTATTGAATATGCATTTGACTTAAATGTTTTTTTAGGGTATTTTTATTAAGGAAAAAATTTGTATAAGGTGTCAACCTTATAATGTATGCGTAGGGTGCACCTAAAAAACCACTAGAAAATGTTGTTTCTATATTGAAAAACCCTCAGATCGGTCATCTAGACCTCGAGATTCAGACTTCGAGATTTATAGACATATAAAAAAGGGACTTCTAGTCCTAAAAATGGTTCATTTTCTAACACATTACCTGCATCGTCCATTTTCAATATTTTTAAGTGCTTATAGATATGTTTGATAGTCACATTTTTTGAAACTTTAAATTTCGTAATTGGGAGCAACAATATATTTTCATATCATTGCAAGGCTCTACGGCACCGAAGCTGTATTTTCGGTATAGTTTTGAAGTGCACCTTACTTCACTAGTATAAAGTTGATACCTTATACAAACCTCACCTTTTTATTAATTATATGTCGAGTTTAAAATGCATTTCGGTAGTAAGTCGTCTTCGCCTCAAAGACCATGGTACCTCAAATTCAAAATTTATAAAACATACTTTGAATCGAAAAAATATTTGGTGAATCAGGTGACTCATGTTCCATTTTTCACCACATATCCATGGATTTGAAGTTCAAAAGACTACAAATATATTGTGATCCTTGAAAATGGAATAGCTTAGGAAAACATAAGAAATAGATAATTTTTTAGGGCTAATTTTATTTATTTACTCTTTTTCAAAATTGTGTTATTTTAATACTATTTATTCTTATTTTTAAATGCTTTTTAATCATCAATTCAGCCCAATCTATATTGCCGATTCCAATGGTCCGACATGGATACGTGGGGCACCGGTCTGCCCCACCGATTCGGGCTTTAAAACACTACCAAGAGGGGAGTGTGAATATTTCAGCAAAAAGAGGGCTAGCGAAGCATTATTTAATTTTTGACATGGCTTCTATGCTGTCGGATCGTATATTGTAGAAATGCAGATTTGACAATAAATATATTTTTTACATATAATTTGATCCTAATATTTAAAGAATAAATAATCTTTAACATGGAGATCATGAATATGAAAAAAATAAAATAAATTGAAAACTATAAATAATAATTATATCAAAAAAACATTTAGACAGTTAGTTACATTTATTTTTAAATGGACCATCTATCTGCATCCAGATGGATGCTTTATATCTCTGGACCGCATATTGTAGAAATACGGTCCAGCCTGCATGACTGCATATACAGTCCAAAAAGTATAAGCATCCATCTTAAAGATGGATACAAGTAGATGTCCCACTTAAAAACAATGGAAACTAACTGTTCAAATGTTTTTTTATTAGAACTATTATTTAGAATTTTTAAAACTTATTTATTTTTTCATATTTATTTTCTCCGTGTTAGAGATTACATGTCGTTAAAAATTAAGTCAAAATATCCAACTCATAAATAAATTTATTACTAAGCCCGCATTTGTACATATGTGGGCTTGGCCGCATAGAAACCGGGTCCATTTTGTATTGGAATTCTGGAGAACATTTCCTTCCAAGACTTTGGAGTCTGCACTTTGCAACATGAAACGAAGGTCATGGACATTTCGATTTTTTTTTGGATAAAGTTCTTATTTTTTTCAGAGCTGGGAATTGTTCATGAAGTACTGTGCGTATGTAAATCGAATCGGAGCAGCGAGTGACAAAGAGGTTCTCTTAATACTCATTCATGGCGCTTTTGGGTACTCTCTCTCTATCTCTCGTCTTTGTTCTTCATTTCTCTCCATTCAACGCATGCTCTTTCCCTCTCTCTTACTTTTTTTTGCATTCAAATCTCTACAATTGGCATTTCCATCGCTTCAACATCCTCTCTCTCCTCCCCGAAACAATTTCATGGTGATTCTCTCCATTCAATTCAGTCACACACTTATTGCACGTTCCTGTCTTTACCCTTTCTAAACCTGCTATTTATCTGAAAATTTCATATCAGGATGTGGATTTAGGTTAATGTGTATTTATTTTTCTTTCATCTAATGGTATCGTTGATTTATTGAGCTGAACTGGTAATATACTGCAAATATTTATAAAATCAAGAAGAAACAGGAAGAAGAACTTCATTACCTGTCAGAAAAAAGGAACAAACTCGTACATAAAGCACAAAGTAATCGAAGGATAAAACTTGGCCGAGTCCAATCTGACTTGGTTGAGTTACTCGGGCTCAAGCCGAGTTATTATGTCCAAACTTGTGTAAAATAAATCTATTAAAAACTTTTTTTTTTTTTGGTAAAATCAATGTATAGATAGTGCGTGTGTGGGTGCATATGTGATTTTTCTTCTCATATGTGCTATTTTTAAATTTTCGCCTTTCTTGGATTTTTCTGAAATGCTCTCAACTATAAATCATTTTTCCCTGAATCCATCTTTTATATATATTTTTCATCTTTTATACATTGTTTATAGCTTACTTTACTCTTTCCTATAATTTTTTTTTTCAATTTTCTTCTTGTTTTTTGTCCCCAAATTCTTAGTCCTTTTCTGGGCTTGTGCACTACTTGCCACGTCCCGGAATCACTCGGCTCTGGCAAATAAATGAACCTTGAATCAAACTGTTATCCTTGTTCTAGCTCTCATTACTCAGATAATTTCATTTCGCTTTTTTCTCATTCCTAAAACAAGTTATTCTCCTATTTATTGCTAGATCTTAACACTTCTATACTTTTGCCAAAAATAAAGAAAGGTATATTTACTGTGTCTATTGTATCTGGATCTTTATCACAGTGTTGGCTTAAACCAAGCTTTTTTGTTGCAGAGAGCATGCTTGTCTTTTTCAAATTGATTATCAAATTACTAACATCATTCTGCTTGAGATAATTAGTATATTAGTTGTTATGGTTTATTGGATATCATGTAACACTCTTGTTCTAGAGAATTTCTGATTAATAGACAAATTTTTATATATAAATGAAAGCATGAAGAATAACAAACATTTTTGGCATCTATCTTGTAGAGTCCAACCTTGATGGTGACACTTTCGACCTTTTGAACCAATTCGAGCGCATATTAGACTCTGATCCTGACATGTAAGAATGTGTTTTTCCGTCCATTCTATGCTTGTTATTTTCACTTTGACTTTCATCTGAACCCCTATGTTTTCTGTGATAATGCAATGTTATCGATAATGAAATCTCTTTACTAATGGTATTCGTTTATCATTTTAATGAGTTCTGATCCTTTCGCTTCCAGAAATGAAGTGGGATTTGTGCACCCAACCCAACTTGTGGCTTTGAATGGTGACGTTGATGAGGGTTCAGCCAAGTCAGTCCTTAGTGGGACAAAGTCAGAGGATGGAACATTGAGTGAATTTATGCGTAGCGATAGGTTACAATATAATGAGAATGTCTTTTGGAATAGAGATCATAAATTGGCAATATCTCTTGCAGCTTTACTTCCCTTATACAAAGCTGCAATGCATTCATATACAGTCTCTAGTGAAAGATATACCAAAGCAATCGAGCTGACTGAAAAGAGTGGTGCTTCACCAAATGGAGCTACTAATAAATATGTGGAATCAGGAAGTGGTAACAGTGACATTTTGGATTTGTGCTTTGTGGAGAATGAGGTTATGAGGCACAGCAGGGCAGTTTTAATGCTAAATTGTGACTTTGAGAGTGCATGGAATTCCAGGTTTTTTTCATTTCCTTGCTGCTAATTGCATGTACAGCTCACTTTTCCTCCCATTGTATGACTTCCACTAGATTTCGCAACATTTATGAACAATTATTTCTTTTTTTTTTTGCTAATTTTTTAACAATTAGTTGGTCTTGGCTTAGGTGATGGCAGTGGCTTTCTTTTCTTATAGGATGAATGCAGCAGAAACTTTTCATGGTATCTGTCTAATACATGATAGATAGTGGAGGGGCTTGAGCCATTGTCACGAGGCCATCTTTTTTTTTTTCTCCTTAAATTTTATGTAAAGTTACCATATTGATTTCGTAACTAGATTACTGGCTCATCATCTATTTGAGTTGTTACTATTGTGTGGAGCAGCATAAGAGAAAACTGACATATGCCGAATGGATATAGATGTTACCACTGAATATTAACCACCCATAAATATCCTAAAGTAAGATTTAAGGTTTTGATAACTCTCTGTGGCAGAAAAGTGGTGAAGAAGACAGCTAGATGGTTGAGGAGGTTGATTGATATCAAGAGCTATTTTTATTTTTTAAAATTTCATGGATGTGGGTCTACATTTTATTTTTTATGATTCTTTTTTAGGAATTATTTATTGCTGATTTTTACCTGTTTGGGGTTCAGGAAAAGGTGGATTTAATTTCTCACCTTTCGTTTCCGCATCAACGGTTCCATTTGTATTGTTTGAAAACCCTGAACCATAAAATAAAGGATATTCTGTTGTTGTCTCATAAGGGTTCCATGCACCAGATATGGTATTACATACAAGTAAAACTGACTAATGTGCCCTTGGATGATCTACAGTCTCTTCCATTCCAAAGAGTATGAGGAACAAGAAATTTCTCAAGAAGAGAACAAAAAATAAATAAATCAATGTTCCCCTCAAGTTAGTGTTTGGATGTCATCCAAGCCCTCCTTGTCTACTATAATTTGTTGCGTTGTTTCTTCAACCAACTTTGTAAAGTTGTCTGCTAGTTGATCGTCTATCTTCAAGTGTGACATCTTTTTCTTTTTTGAAAAGCTTCAAGTGTGAGATTTTGATGATCTAAGCAACAACTTTTCCCCATTTGAAGTGGCAGTCCACTTCAATTTGTCTCATGTGCCTGTGGATACATGGTTAGAGGAAATGAGGATTATCTTGGTTACTTATCACAACCCACAAGAGTTCTATATTGTGAAGCAATTCCTTGAGCCAAGGAAGCTCACATGTAGTTGAGGCCAAAGCCTTATAGTACTCAGCCACCTTAAACTAGCAACTATACTTTTGTTTCTTACTTTTTCAAGCAAGCGAATTACCTACTACCATGCTACAGTTCCTCAGTGTTGAACTCTCTATCCAAGGAACAGCTGGCCCAGTTTCCATCTGTGAAGACCTGCATAACACCCTTTGATGAGAGATATGAGCAAGAGGCTTCGAGAAAACTAGTGTTTCCTGAATTATATGAAGCCAGTAAGCGAACAACAAATCCATGGGTATTTGAACCCGAGTATCCTGGAAAAAGCAGAATATTTGATGGAAGAACAGGAGATCCTTTTGAAGTACATGATTATTGTTGGATGTCAAGATACTCTTCTCAGTGGTAGACTTAAAATATCGTAACATGCCTTGTAACTTACATTGTCTTGGATGCTATGGAAAAAACTATGATAAAGCTTTTAAAATTATTTGTGTTATGCGTAAATGTTTTGTTGAAAGAAAATCAAAGCTTATTAAAGCTTGTTGATGACTATGGTATGTTTATTGACAACCATATGGGGATATTTATTTATTTTTCTCTACTGATATTCTTGGTGATCTTTATTGCCTTTTTGTATATAATTTTGTTGATCACTATTCTCCATACATATGCAGGAAGCTGGTAGTTTCAAGTAAGCAGAGTATTTCATTCTTTCTAGCTGAACTCCAGTTATCAGCACTTATTCTTTCTTATGCACCAAAAAGTGAGAAAGCATGGATTCATAGGTAACTGGGAAGTCTTTTTTGTATGCTTGAACATAGATGAGATCCTGGAGTCACGTTATATACCTGATCTGCTGTTCATATCTTCCTCACATTGCCTATTAGCGATCAACATGTTGATATTATATTCCTTGTTGTGTTCATGATCTGATATATAAATGGCAATTTGGATAAAATATTGGAGTTGAGGTTGAACATGAGTTATTTTAATCTTTGGTTTCGTTCTTGTTGGGCTGGGATGCATCCAGCGTAAAATATGAAGAAGTTAAGAGAGAATGTTGGCTCCTTTTCTGTAACTTAAAGTGTCCAAGTGAGTGTTTGGGTGCTATCTTGAGGTAAGGCACCACCTTGGTATGTTACTTGGGCCCACTTCAGGTCAAATATTCCTAAGTTCCCTCTAGTGATTGCATCATTATCATCTAAGCCTTATCTCAATTATTTGGGATTGGCTACATGAATCATGTTCTTCCATTCTTCTCTTCAAAATTCATGATAAGATGTAACAAAGTTTTACACTGGCTGCCTATCAAACGCAACCCACCTCTTTTACTCGGGCTTGGGACAGGTTAAGAGAAAGTTTAAGGTCTTCACCCTTATTAGACTAGCAAAATCAGAAAATCAATCGCCCAAAAGCCTAAGCACATTACTCAAAAATGGCAAAGAATCATCATATAGCCTTTTCTCGATTAATTGGGGTTGGCTGCACGAATCCTGGTTCGCCATTCTTCTCTATTAAAGGTCATATCCTCAGTGAAGCCATAATTCCCCATATCTTTTCACTACTTCCAATCATGTCTGTTTGGGCCTCTTTGCCCTTTTCAATCCTTCCTCTTGAAACTAACTCGCACCTCCTAATAGGTGTTGTACTGGGACAACGCCACACATGGCCAGCCCTCCTAAGTCTACTATTTCTCATCTTATCGCCTATAGGTGCCACACCTAAATTTTATTGAATGGATTCATTTCGAATTCTATCCCTTCTTGTCTTGCCACTTATCCATCTCAATATCCTCATCTCTGCTACACTCATTCTCTAGGTATACTATTTTTTGTCCGCCCAACATTCCGCCCCATGAAGCAAAGTTGGTCTCACAGCTGTCCTATAGAACTTGCCCTCCAGCTTTGTTGGTATACGGCGATCACATAAAATTCCAATTGCACATCTCCACTTTGCCCACCCAGCTCTAACTCTGTGTGCGACATCTTCCTCAATCTTTCCATTTTCGTGGATTATCAATCCAAGATATCAAAAGTGCAGCATTTTTTGTACTTCTTGGCCATCAATCTTAACTAATTCCTTGTCTCTACTCTTATTATTACTAAACTTGCATTATAAGAATTGCAAAGAATGAGAGTTTCTAATTAGAGTCAAAATTTCCTTATATTAAACATCCAAATAAAGATTTAACGCCATCCACATTTACCTTCTTTATTTGGGGTTTGAAGAGTGTGCCCACACTAGGCACAAGCAACCCATACAAACAAAGAAATCAAAATAATGCTAATGCCATTCAAGCTCAAATTTACCAAAATCCTTGGAATTTATTCAGATCAACACAAAAAAGACCTACTCAAATTTAGTGTTGAACCAATTGAAAAACATAAAGACAAGTCGAGAGAAAAAGTAAGGCACAAAAGCACAATTTCAATTTGTTACAGCATGTTCCAACAACACATGGAGTCTCTCACAGAGGCCTTAAATAGGAACCTCCCCGGGTTTCTTTAGGAAGAAACACAGCCTCTCACTTTTTTTCTGGAGATACAATCCAAGTATAGTCTTTCTCACTTTGTTGTGGTGGAGAAATGCTCTGAGAATAGTTTCTCTCATTTTCCTTTGCAGGAGAAATGCTACCAGAATGGTTTCCCTCACTCTGTTTTGGAGGGGAGACACTAAGGGAGTTGTTTCTCTCACTACGTATATGAGAGATGCTAGCAGAATAGTTTCTCTCTATGCTTGGGAGGAGACATGCTGGGAGAAGGTCTTTCTCTCTTAGCATAGGAGAGAGACTACGAGAAAAGTTTCTCTCACTAGGTTTGGCAGGAGAAATGCTGAGAGAATGGTTTCTCTCAGTATGTTTCAGAGGAGAGATGCTGCGAGAATACTTTCTGTTACAATGTTGAGGAGGAGAGATACTGTGAAATTTGTATCTCTCTTTTTCTTTGGGAGGAGGGATATTATGAGAGTTTTTTCTCTCACTATGTTTAGGAGAGGTGTGAGAATTGCTTCATTTGCTATATTTAGGAGGAGAGATGCTACGAGAAATCAAGCAATACTTGTCTTTGGGCATAGACGGCCTCTCACGCCTGTGGTGTTTGTCAAGGGAACACGCTCTGTGCTTTGTTGGAGATGAGCGGCGAAGAGGGAACGCTCTCTGTGCCTTGTTTGAGATGAGCGGTGAAGATTCTCTCTGTGCCTCTCAGGAGACAGTGAGCAGATGTGGGAATGATCTCTGTGCCTTTCTGGAGTTGGTGAACGGCCGGGATGCTCTCTGTCCTTTTCAGGAGTCAGTGAATGGCAGGAATGTTCTATTTGCCTCACGGGGAGATAGTGTACTGTGGGGATGATTTCTGTTCCTTTCAGGAGTCAGTGAACTGCGGGGATGGTCTCTGTGCCTCTCAGGAGTTGGTGAACGGAGGGGATGCTCTCTGTGCCCCTCAGGACTCAGTGAACGGCGAGGTTGCTCTCTGTGCCTCACTGGAGATGGTGAATGGGGATGACGCTCTCTATGCCTTTTGGGAGATGGTGAACGGCGGGCATTGTGCCTGCCATCAGGGGATGGGCAGTTGCTACGCCTGCTCCTTGGAGGAGAGTGCCTCTTTCTCTGTGTGACAACAGAGGGGAAGGTCGATGTCTATCCCGATATGGCGAGACACTTGGAGATTTTCATACTCTGTTGATTGTGGCTAATGCAATAGATAGAAGAACATAAAACATTATATGCCAGAAGCACCAAATTGGAAATAAAAAAAAAAACTTGGCATGCAAAGCTTGTAATCATACGATCTACAAGATGGATGGTCCCCAAAATCAGCATGCAAGCAACTATGGCTATGGTGAGTTGTTGGTTATGGTTAGTCATCTATCATTAATCAACAACTGGTGTCATAATTGCATGCATGCTGATTTCGGCAATCATATATCTTTCATATTGTGCAATTATGTGCTTTGCATTCTAGGGCCTCATTTGAAGGGCCAAAAAATTCCAACAAGGAAGGGAGGTATTTGTTATGAGGGGATTTTTTTTTATTGACAGGATCACTTGTGTTTTACCTGTGTTTTTTGAAAAGCGTGGACACGAAATGTTGAATGCAGGGCAGGGGCATCAGGGGCATTTTTCACTCTTAAATGGGTGGGGGAAGAGAACTTGCTTTTTCCGTAATTTGGTTGTTCAAACAGGATCCTAAATGTTTGATTTTTTTTTTTTTCAATTTGGAGCTTCATGCATATATACTTTTTTTTTCCCTCTATTTCTTGCATCAGCCATAACCAACCATTCCACTGGTGTTTGAGGACACAGCCGTCAACTCAGCCTCGGCTTTGTTACTAGGCCTTGACAGGGTGCCAAGGCGATTATCCTCGCCAACATCAGGGGAGAGTGCACATTTGCTGTACTCGTGAGAGTAATTTTCGTTGCTTATGAAAATGGAAGTGGGGCAGAAATCACCTCTTCTTCACTTTTCTTGAATCTTGGAGCCCAAAACTCCATATTTCATCCTAAATTTTCAACCCAAGCTTGGTTTTTATTAGATCTGCCAATTAGAAGCCTTGCATTCAAGAAAAAATAGTAGATTTCATGGATTTTGTAGATCAATGATTTGGGCAAGTTCTAACCTGATTTTGAAAATTTTAATTTCTTTGAACTAGATGGTCTATCTTTGATGAAAATTGAACCCTAGGCCTAATGTTTTCTTGATTCTACTAAGTTTTCAATTATTTATATTCCTTTTTTCGGTATTTCCCATTTCTTACAAATTTCCCCAGCCCTTTGTGGACTCAGAGGCAGGACACATCCGAGTTATTTGGAAAGGGAAGGGGCCAAGTCCCGAGCTCGAGCTCGAGCCCGAGCCCGAGCCCAAGCCGAGTTTCTGAAAATTGATTCCCACAAATGAGAAACTTGCCACTGTCTAAAGAGAAAGATGCAGGTGCATGCCTCCTTAGAGATTTCTGTCTTGAACATAAGATTGTGAGAGTATTTAATAACCATGGCATGTGCATTTTGATGCCCATAGGGTCAAGCTAAAATAACAGCAGGCGGTGGATATTCTGGAAGCCTGTCTTAACTAAACTAATGCTCACATCTCTAAAATGGTTGTCCATCTGTACCTCATATGGTATGTGAATATTCTAGAACATTGACCCTCCGTTTTTCATATCCTATGGAGGTACCTCAAATGCAACTGTCAATTCTGGAAGGTGCTAATGCCATGAGAGGACCACTTGATTAATCATGTACTGGGAAGCCATACTGATCATGTGGGGTGCTTCACTTTCCAGTTTCCTGTGCTAATTAGGCCCCTTTTTTATGGTTCATGTAACCAGGTTACTCTCCCCTTCTTTTATTTCTTAAGGAGTTTAAAAAATTATCAAATAAGGCCCCATTTTTATGGTATTATACCTGGCTGAGGTCAATTGCTGCATAGGCTGTTTCCTGGGCCCTTGAATGTAGCTTTTACACCAACAGTTAAAAAAAAAAAAGTAGCTTTTACACCTCCAAGTTCTTTGTATTTGCTACCCACCAAGTTCTTTGTGCAAGGAAGTTGCAATGTTATCTCTATTATCTTAAACATAACTTTTTATGTAATTATAGTGCTCCATTGGAACTTACAACAACAGATGATACCATTTATCATTAAATGCGGGGACATATTGGCATGCTCTAGCATTTCATTGGCTACAAAAATTCTTTTATGGTCTGTAAATTAATTTTGTACATTGATTTTTTTGTATACAATTGAATATTCGTTTCTTCTCTGAAATATGGCTGTTTCAAAATTCAAACAAAAGAAAACGTTCAGCATATGAAGGTACATCAGAATGTATTTCAATTGAATACTCCATGGAAGTTCTGAAGACAAAATAGAAACAAATTTTAGCAAGAATAGACTTTGATGTCAATTTTGTTCTATACATCAAAGAAATCTTAACATGGAAATATTAGAAGCCCTGGAGCAGTTGAGTGGTCTTGACTGACTTATTAAGGAAAAAAGGTCATAGTTGACATGAAATCATATTCTAGGGAACGACATTTATTGTTAACTTCATGACAAAATTTGCATTTGCAAATGTAATAAGGTTTTCTCCTATTCCTTTGTCACCATCATCATAAGTATAATTGATAAAGGCTAATTTGTCATTTGAATGGGGTGTTGAAATATTTTTCTTACGTAGTTTGTGTTTGTTCCAGGAGGTGGGTGATAACAATGATTTCAAGAAAATTTCCAGTTCTTCAAGAGATTTTGGAAAGAGAATCTGAGCTTGTGGAACGAATTGCTGAGGTTTATTCTTCATCAAAGCAACTGATATTGTTAAAAAGTGAAGGTTCAAGAACTTACCTTTCTAAAAGGAGAAAAATGTTTAGTTTTTAATTTCTGCATTTTCCTTTGGCAGGGAGGAAGCATGTGAAATGATCTTTAACGTAAAAAAACATTCGTTTTCTAGATAATGAAACATTGTATCGTAACGTTATTTGCCATTGCTATACCTGGCTTTGTCCCTTGGTATGCTTTTCGAAAGGAACTAGTAGTGATGTCTTCTTGGTTCTTTGTAGATCACGCTGACATGTGTTCTCACCAAGCCTTGCCAGAAAAACATATGTTAGAGATTGTGAGGTTCTCTGGCAGACCTCTTGGGATAATAACTTTGCGTGGGAGATGCCATTGTCTAACATCTTGCTTCCAAAATATTATCAAAAACAAAATGATAATCACAAATCACACTATTGCGTCAAGAATTTACCACTGTTCCTCGTTATAAAAGGGACTTATTTGATTAAAACTAATTGGAATTATTTTTATTTTCTTTCTATTTCATTGTTACTAACTGATGCTTGCACAACTAGAATAAGAAAATGGCGGATATGTTGGCTATTTTGTGTATATCATGGGGAGCTTATGAGTATTGAGGTTTTCTACCATCCTAGTTATGAACAGGGCCGAAATACTTGATAGGATGCCTGTTTCTCCTTATCATTGAATACTTCTTGAGTCACTGTAACCCTGCACATATAACATTTGAGCAGTAACTATTCTGTTGTCAAATGCAAGCCTTCTACCAATGGAGGCAAGTCATGTTGAAGCTTCTGGTCTCTTTGTGGTTCTATGCTTTCAACTCTTCATCTTAATGACATCCTGGTTTGAGGCATCGGCTCTTTTCTATCAGTTTCTGTCCTTTTTTTTTTTTTGAAGAGAAAATAAATCATAGCTTTTTTGTTATTTTTAAAAAGTTAAGTGTGATTGCATGGGAGTGAACCATTTCTATGGTAAGATCAATATGAACCCATCTTACTCTTGTATCTCTTGTGATTCTGTTTATGGAATTTCATTTTTCTTTATTTCTAAACAAGAAATATTTAGAAAATATATATCTGGCAATTTGTTTTTGCAGAAATCCAAAATGAACTATCGTGCGTGGCATCACCGCTGTTGGCTTGTTTCCTACTTAACAAGAAGTCAGGTAAGTTTCTAATGATTAAAATAAAATTAAAAGAAGACAGGTTAATGTCTTTACCAGTTTAACTAGTTGTTGTATTGCCGAAGAATCCACTATGGCAATGACCATTTTCTCGAGGTGGATATTGTACTTGTCTTTTCTTCTACCTGTTACCTTGATTTTGTAATATGATATAATCATCACTACCTGCCTCCAATATTTTGTCTCTCTTCTTTGTTTTTAATTAGTTTTCCTTTTTCTTTTATTTGAACGGGGAAAGAGGTGTTGAAAGGATCATCAAACCTTATAATTTTATTGTGGCTATGATATGATTTCTCTAATCTTGCCCACAAATATTTCTTCCTGGCCTTGGTCCATATCATACTGAAATTTTCTTTTTAGATTTCAAGTTCCCAGTTTAAGTTAATCTACACATATGTAGGTGGGAAGTGAACTAGATAGAACCAGAAGATGGGCCGAATTACATGTTGCAGATAACTGCTGCTTCCACTATCGCAGAGTAACTATCTCAAGGACAACTTCCACCCATCTTGTCTTTATAGTGTGATAAGATTTACATACCAAATGCTTTCCCTTTTAGTATCCGTATCTACGATATATTTGTGTCCATATGAATTTGTCTTTGCTATGTCAGGTTATGTCATCAACAATACTAGGATAAATTTTTAAAAATGGTTGCCTGAAATATCTGTTATGTGTATGTTCCCTTGTGACCGTCACTTTTATTTGAGAAGTATTTCATTTGTGAGGGGAAAAGTCATAGATCTCATACTGTCAAAAGAAAAACATTAAGGGGCCGTTTGATAACGGTGAATGGGTGGGAAAGTCCCCAACTTTCTCCTATACTGTAGCTTTCCATTGTTTGGGAACAGTAAATTGGGAGAAAGTCGGAACCCACATTTTCCCCAAAGCACTATTCTCATGGGTAAAGTTGTCGACCTGCGACTTTCATGGAAAGTTCACGGGCATGAACCCCGACAAAAATTGCGGTTCTCTTCTCTCGCTCGTGTTGAAGCTGCTCGATGTTCCTTCCTCCATGCTCGCACCAGCAAAAGTTAATAGTACATCTCTCTCTCTCTCTCTCTCTCTCTCTTGAAGTACCTGTAAATCTTCATAGGCATTCACGAGCTCCATCTCTCTATAAATGAGGTGATATCCTTTTCCATAACCCAGCTCAAAATTTGAACTCCATTTTATCCTTATTATAAAACGAAACCAAACTACTCTCTCCTCTCTCTCTCTCTCTTTCTACTCTCTCTCTCTCTCACACACACTCTCTCTCTCTCTCTCCCTTTCTCTCTCTCCAAAATATGCGATAAGTTTGAAAGTTATATCTCAGATGCTGTTTTAGTTCAATTTTTGCCTTTGTCTTCAGAAAAGCTTCAAAATCTTCATAAGAATGATTGCATTTTGTAAAATGATGGTGATTCTGGAACTATTGACACTCCAAAGGGCGATCTAGTTTGTGGATCATTGATTGTTACACTCCTTGATCTATGACATTGTCCTGTAATTTTTCATACTCAAGTTTTCCCCTCATGACATTGATATAGAGATTGTTAGACTCCTTGATCTATGGCATTGTCCTGTAATTTTTCATACTCAAGTTTTTCCCCTCGTGACATTGATATAGAGAATTCAAGAATCTTAGTGTAAAAAATATTTGTGTTTCTGGGTTTTGGAGAATTTGACGGGACAAGCCACATTTTCTATCAAACGATTGGGGGAGATGTTGTTTTATGGACGCATTGATAGGTGGTCTAGTGGGTGTGCAAAAGCCAGCCTTATCGCAGAGGTTAGCCATTTTGTCGACGAAATGCCTGAGAGAAATTAAGTTTCATGGAATGCTACAATTACATCATGAGTACAAAGTGATATGTTCCAAGAGGCTTATAAGCTCTTTGAACGAATGCAAGCGGAGAAATTAAATTTGGACAAATTTGTAGCAGCCAGATAGTGGTTTGGAACTTTGGGACATGGAACTATGTCAACAGTTTCAGAAATCAATGGTGTTTACTGTGTTATATTTGTTTTGGCCTGTCTCTATAAGGCAATTTTAACGTTTTCCTCTTTTTGTATTTGAAGATATTATTTATAAAGATGACTCTTTATGTGAACGATGATTTATTATTTTCTCAAATCTCTTGAATTTCTACAGTATTGGATCGACTTCTAGATGTTCTTTAAACCAAGTCAAGGAGTTTTTAGCTCAGTTAGATTTGGTGGTCATAGGTGAACTAATTCATGGTTGCATTGATCCTGTCTCTCTTTTTCAACAATCTATTTCTCTGGGAAGTTTTCTTGTTTAACACTGGGGCCTAGCCCGATGTACATCTATTAGATTAAAAGGAAATATATGCTGGCATTATGCTAGCTTCAGGTTTTTATTGTAATTTGCTGGTTTGGGATCTCTAGAGTAAGGGAAATGGATCGATGGGTACATAGAGAAGAGTGGTATTGAATTGGACATGGTGTTTATTGTAAATATGGGTGCTTGGAGAAAACTTTCGAAGTGTTTCATGGCTTGCCTCAAAAGAGGATTTCTCCTTGGAATTGTATGGTGTCCTGAGTGCTTGTGCACATTCAGGCATAGCAAAAGAAATGTACTGCTATTTTGAGTCTACGACCAAGGTTTATGATGTCAAGCCCAAAATGGAGCATTATGGGTGCAAGGTGGATTTGCTTGGAAGAACTGGCGTGTCAGAGAGAGCAAAAGAGCTCATTGATGGCATCACTGTAAAGCCAGATCTTCTTGGTGCTCTTTATAGATTATTGGTAATCTTGAAATAGGTGAACTATCAAGGAAACAGGTTATCGAGCTCAGAAAACAGGTTCTCGGAAGAGGCAGTCAGGTTGGAAGTGCCACAATGTGACATCCAGACTTCCATTCTCACCTAGTGGCAAGTCATCGAGCTCAAGCCTCACAATAGTGGGTGCTATGCCCTTGGCTAATTTAATTTATCACAATATGATCTCTAGTGATATATCACATTGTTATTAAAGAGGATGACCTTTTTGAAATTATTTTCTTGTTGTGAGAACTAAATATCATTAATTCTATGTTAGAAGATGAGCTACATATAAAAAAATATATAATTTCAACATAGCGTACTATTAAGAATTTCTTTTATCATTAGAGAGAATGGTATTGAGTGCTATATTAACTGCATAAAAGTTAATGAATGGTATTCTATGAATTGTAAGTCGAGGCTGGCACAGATCTATTGATTGAAGTGATGAGGGGTGACATGTATAAACATTGCATATTGCAATGATGTAGATCAATTACTTGAGGCACATGCATGGTTGTGATTGAACCCTATGTGGTTCTCATACCATATGTGGTGTAGGCTTGTTAAAGTTGGTACGAGTTTGTGATCTTGTTTTTATCCATGGCAATCAGGGCATCCTTCTTGGGTGGGGAACACAAGTAACAGTTTGAAAATCACATCTACTTGTAGTTAAATTATTTGTGATACTTCTCTAAAGATTAAATTTCAATCATAACTATACATGGTAAGAAATGCTTTAGATAGGTAGTGACAAGAAAATCTTATTAAAAATATACATTACACGCATCAAATCAGGGAAATACATAATGAACGATTAAAACAGGTTGTTTGTGCTTTCCCAGCATCAACATTACCAAACAGGAGAAAGCAGCAGCACCATAGTTTATCAAAAAGGGTTACTAGCTTTCAGGCTACCAATTTTCACTTTCTCCCTGAATCTAGGAAACTCAGCAACAGGGAGCATCCCAGGGAAACTGTACAGAAAGTTATCAAACGCCCCCTAAGTGATGAGAGTAAGAAAAGAAAACAGAAGAGGATAATCAAACTTGGTTCTTTCTTACGCTCTTTGCCATGACAACTGTAATAAGAAATTTGCCCGAAACATTTTTTTTTCCCCTTTTTGCTGCAGCGGTTGTTCCTTAGCTTGTTAGAGACCAAGAAATGTGCTCCACATGACCCTAAGGCGCAGCTTGAACTGGATATGGCTTGGAAGGTGAGCATACATTTAAAAGAAAGTATTTTCATGAGAGAATTGCAGAAACTCATGTATTTCTTCAAATCGACAGGAGGAGCTGAAATGGAATCAATCCTTGATATGCCGCTACATCGGGAGAGAGGTACTCCAAAATAACCAACGTATCTAGCTTTGCTCTCAACGTTTTCAGCAATCCACCTTTTCTTTTTTTTTCTATCACCTAAACATGGGTGTCAATACTCTTCACCTGGTGTCCCCAAAACATGGGTGTCAATACTCTTCATCTTTCAATTTTAGTTGTACACCCATTACTTAAAAACATGCATGGCCCCTATACATATGCATATGTGTGTGTGTAGTGTACGCACATGTTGATTTCCATTACTGAAAACCTCATTCATTTCACTACCTATCTTATCCCACTTATTTTTACTACATTTATGGCCTAACAAACACTCGCAATCTCTCTCTCTCTCTCTCTCTCTCTCTGCATTAACCTTTGCCTGCGTTTTTTGTCAGATGTGTGCCTTGCTTAAACTGATATGCCTGAAATTCAACTCTTTTATTTCTTTGCAGTCCCTTTGGGTTCATCGTCGATTCCTTTCTCATGGTTGGATAAATCATATTGCATGTGCATCTAGTTCAAGTTTAGGAGACTCTGATAAGAGGAATCCAGAGATTATGATGTTTTTGGATGGCGAGTTGGAGCTCCTCCATTCGTGTTCGAAATTTTCAGACAGGGAATTTGATGATGAACATGTTCAGGCAGCGCTTGCAGCATCCTACATATTGTGGATTTCGAGGGTAAGATTCCAAAAGACTTTCTTGTCAATTGAAAGATGCATCTACACTCATATAACTATTCTAGAAGTATGCGTGACATGTCCTTAGGCTATGAGCACAAAACATTGTTGGTGATTTTGTGAAGTTGTCATGGATCGTCTCTCTCTCAAGTAAAGTCACACACACACGTGTTTGTATGCACATGTTTGGGGAATAAAGGTTTGGATGTCACTCTTGAATTCACGATGCGTGCTGAGAGGAAGAGCTCTGTAGCACTAAGCTGCTTGCATCTAGGATGAAATTTGTGTCAACTGATGATTTCATGCGTAGCCACAAACAACCTGTCAACTGATAATTTAAGGCATGACCATACCCCCCCCCTCTCTGTATGCTGTTGTCTGGTTCACACTGACACAATCAATCGATTAAATCAAAATTTGATGCTTTCTCTCAAATTTTATGCCCTCTGTCTCACACAGACACACTCATCAGAGTTTCTCTCTCTACATCTTTCTGTTATGTGCTTGTACCCTGACAATCGCTCATGGATTAAATCAAACTCCATCTTTTCTGCCCCTTTCTATGTGTGGTTGACAAATTACTATTCAAGGTTGAGATCACACTCCGTGCATGCCCTCCATCTCTCTCTCTCTCTCTCTCTACACGATGAGTTAATTTTGAAGTTTTTGGGTTTCAGAGGATTCCTCAACTTTATGTGAGTGTGCTTCTAAGCAAGTTTAGAGAAGGGGAAGGAAGAGATGTGAAGGCCATGCTTCTTGAGGCTTGCCCAGAGAAGTCCTTGCTATGGGAGGGGCTATACGCCTATCTTTCCTACAAATGACTGAAGAGTTCAAAGCATTTGAATTCCGTCATAGCTGAAATGCTTCCATGGTTCTGCAGGAGCAAAATGTACATCTTTAGGACCACAAATTTTGCGGATCTGAGTCATCTGACCCATTGGCATCCATGGAAAGGCAAGCATGGCAATTTACTATATATATATATATTTATATTTAGTTTTTAATTTTTTGGAGGGACCATCTCAACCTAAATAGTTGGGAAAAAGCTTGAATGATGATGTTAAATATGAAGGAACTGGAAAGTTAGAGATATCCCAAATTGAGCTGATTGAGCAGTTTGGATGTCCAATGTCGAACCATGGTTTCACTAAAAGACCTACATACAATGAGGTTAGTCTAGACATGCAGTGCAAGAATTGCTCCTAGTTATCATTTTATGGCGGGTTAGATATTGAATATCCGAACCTTTTTTTGGGCAAAAAAAAGGAAAAGAAAAGGATACGTGTGGGTTGTTTGGCCAGCACATATCCGAACCGGCCACACCTGTTATTTTCTTGAGTTAAAAATGCTACCAACATTGGATGTCTAAATTGCCTAAATACAAAAAAATAAATAAATAAAAGTGGTTCAGACATCGAATGTTTAAACTCCCTTTCTAACTCAAGAAGAAAAAATGAAATTGGTAAGAATAATGGATATATGAATTGATGTAAAATGAAGATTTAAAAAAAGAAAAAAAAGAAAAAAAAGAAAAGAAAAGAGAACTCAACTGAAGCTTGTGTGTATATACGTGTGTAAACTTTTCTCATTGCCGATATTTGTTAGGGAATTTTATGTAAATTTCTATTTAAATAAAAATCCCCAACATTTGACAAAAAAACACCAAAGCACTGATTTTGAATTTACATCCATACGAGATAAATTCAAATTTTAGTAAAAGAACTATGTACTTTAAGATTATTTATAGTTATCATAAGTGTTCACAATCACTACACGTGCAAAATTGAGACGTTAGGACAAAAAAATTAAAATTTCTCAAATTGTGGGATACAACTAAGCTGTTGGATTTCATAGTCAAAAGACTAAAGTCGATTATGACTTTGTATTAAAATTGAATAGTCATATGTTATACAAGATAAAGAGAATGTTAAGGAAAATATATATTTTATTATTAAAATTTTAAATAACCATTTATATTTTTTACACTGAAGTCCCACGTTTGAGAGTCCGTATTGTATTTTAATTTTATTTTATTGTCCATGCACTGTGCACAAATTTGCAGATGATACTTAGGGCTCGGCTTTATGAAAACAAAGTAAAACCTCACTTTGAATCCTTGTCTCGAAAGCATTTTGAGCAGCTTCACTTCGAATCTTTGTCTGGAAAGCACTTTGAGCATGAAAAATCTCCATGATGGTTCTAAAATCAATTTACAACATCGATTATGAAATTTGAAGTTAAAAAAATGGTATAGATCTTATGGTTCTTTAAACCCATATTTTTAGAGCAAAATGGATGATCTAGACAATGTATTACAATACACATTTCTTTTATGGCTTAAAATCCTTTCTTCTTTTTTTTAACAATGATAATGATCAAAGCTGAGATGATGAATTTGAAAGCTTTTTTATACTAGAATTGCAATTTTTAGTGAGTTTTGAGGTGAGACTTCACTCACTTTGATATGCTGTAGTCCTATCAAAACATTTCTTATTAGAAAAAAGTACCAAAACACTTAGAAAAAAAAAAAAAAAAAGAAGATAAAAATACCAAAAAAATTTAAGACTTTTAGGAGTAATTTGGTCATCTTATTTAATTTAAATATTTTTTTAATATACTTTATAAGTAAGCTAAAATTTGAGCTTTCTCGGGTAGAAATAAAATTAAAATACAATATCCAAAAGTAAAAAGTGTGGCTCATATGTATACCTCAAAACCCATTGCAGTTTTCGCACAAAAAACCTTCAAATCGATCATCTCGGTCGGCCGTGATTGTCATGTTATAGAAAAAAAGTTAGGATTTCAACCTTAAATGTATTATCCAAATTGTTGATGTCGCCACAAAAACAAGGTTCACATGTCCATAAGATCTATACTATTTTTTAAGATTTAAGTTTCATAGTCGGTATCGGAAATCAATTGGACAGGGTTTTTAGGAGTGCGACTCTATCAGTCACCTTAATAGAGGACTGATATTTTTTTATCTAAAATTTTAGAAATTCATCTAAGCCAAGCTTATCATAAATATTTTTAGAAATTTGCAGTTTAAAACGTGTTTTCTAGGATTTTTTTGCACCGTTCATATATGATATGACCCCGCGATTACTGTAGAAAAGAAAAGCCTAAAACCCTAGCTCAAAACCCATTTCCAGTCTCTATGTGTCTTGGATAAACAGTGTGAAAACCAAACCCCAGCAGACTCTTTAACCTGTGGCTCTGAAAGCGGCACCAAGCTTGAAGCCTCCGCTTCCTGAACGGACAGATCACGGATCTCCAACAGGGTTTTGACCTTCTCCCATTTTCAGAGAGAATTCGGAAGAGGTAAAGCCCCTCTCTCTCTCTGTCTCTCTGTCTCTCTCTCTCTCTCTCTCTCTCTAACCTAGTTCTCTGTTATCTCCCTTTTGTGAAACGCAGCTTCTAATTACTCCATTCAACGGAGTACGAAAACCCCCAATGTTTGTTACCTACTTCCCATAATTTATTTGAAACGGTAATATCTGCATTGGAAGTTCTTCTTGGCTAGGGCTGGGGGTTTTCTTGGCTCAGTGCTTTTTTGTATGGCTTAATGAAAAAGTTGGAATTTTTATTTGTGTTCCATGTTCGTCGTGCCTTGTTTTTTTTTTAACATACGATTCAGTTATTTCTCTAAATTGTTCCATTTTCATGCTTTGATTAGATGGGAACGATTTTGAGTGGGAATTTTTCTGCTTTCTCCATTTTTTACCTAGGAAAAAATTTCCATTTTTTTTTCTTTTGCTAAATTGGGTTCAGTTGTACCTGAACCCATCAAGAACTCTCATTTTTTTTTTTTTAAGAAAGCGACATTATATAGTCATCGTAATAGAAGTTTTACAAAATTTCACGAGATGAGAGTTTCGGCATCCCACAGCTCATCAAGAGCACTTACTCTGAAGGAAATTCTGAAGCCTTTATCGAGCTCCCTATACCAGTCGGACTTACACGAAATGTCAACATTATTCTATAGCCAATAGTGCCGGATGAGTCTAAATTAATTATTATTATTTTAATCCTCACAATGAATTCCAATTTTCTCTATGATACTGTTAGGAAACACTGATCTCGCCATTCTCTGATATGCTTTTCTTGTTTATCTACTTTGCTAACTGAATATTTGTATATGTATATATTTATATATAATTTTTATTAAATTGGTCTGAATGTCGTTTTTAATTAGACCTTCCTCCTGAGGATTTCCACTGAATTTCTAATGCTTTTAACATTAAAAGTTTGTTATTTATTTTCCATTTATTCAATTTCGTTAGGCTTGATTGTGGTTTTTTTTATTACACATCCTTCTCGAGGATTTCCTCTGAATTTTTTATTGGTTTTAACAGTAGAATGTTTTTTATTTTAAGAAAACGAATTTGGTCTCATCTGTTCTTATATTTACCTAAGAATGTCGAGCATATTGGTATTTTTTGATCAATTAGAGCGTATTGAATTCATTTTTTTATGTCGTCTCCTCTATGATTTGTTAGTGTGTTTCCTTTGATATATTTTCTATGCTGGTCTACGTTCTTGTTTTTTGGAAATTAATTCTTTCCTATTTAGAAAAGGGGTCATAAATATCTTTTGAAAATTAACATATTCATGGCGATGTGTCAGCAAATGCAAAAATACTTTCGGTCTTGCAGAGTCATTTTGTGGTCCACTATTGAAACTTGTGACATTCTCATATATTTAGGTTTCAAAGAATGGATAACTAAGACCCTAAATCTTCCTACAAACAAAAAACGGCTCCTGTGTTGTTTTAATTTAATCTGACGGCCGTACAATGATCACTGGACATGCCTGTGTATAGGGACATGTTAAAAACCTTTTTTGAATTTGTTTCCAGGTTAAGGCTCCTCAAAAATGTATCTCCAGTTTTATATCAACGACAATGGTGATAAGGTTTACACAGTCAAGGTACTTATCTCTTCTTTTTTGGTTCATTTGTGATTTGGAGCTTCTTGTAGCTGTCTTTTCCAATAGATATCCGATGGTTATTTTTAATAGACATATTTTAATGCTATCAGAAACAAAACTTACACTAGCTTGCGTGTAACATGGGCTTGATTCAAGTGTCATGCCTTGTATTTGCCAGACTTGAAACTTTGTGCAAAAGATGAATTGGTCTTAGGTTATGTTATAACCTTTGAACAGTCCATGTAAAATAGCATGTAAAAAGAGACATTTCCTTGCAATCTTTAGAATGAGAGGGATCCTTTTTTGGGTTGAGTGAGAGAGGCCCTTGAGTTTTGAGATCTACATGCCTGTTCTTATGAGTGAAGACTCTTTGGACATGAAAATTATCAAACAACAGATTATTGAAAGTCCCTTAAGGTATTCTTACAAGATACAATACACTAGTTAAACAGACAATTACATGTAAGTGTATGACTCATATTCACATTGGAAAAGGGATTTCTAAATTGAGAGTTTTACCAGAAACCATTAACCACCATAATTAAGCGGTCGTATAGTTGGTGAACGGAGATGCTGCCCACAAAAAATTAGGGTGGATTTGGGAGAGAAATTAGTGAAATAGGCTTGTTCCTGAGGTGTGCAGTAAAGCCGTACCTACAAGTATTCCTTTTTCGAAGGTACAAATGGAAATCAATCTTAGTATCACTTATGATACACATAAAGGAGCTGGAAAAGGAAAATGAACACTGTTTGGAAAGGAGGGTTTATGAAAGGAAAATGAGTGCCAAAGATATATAGGAGGTTTATGGCCATGCATTGATGTGTGGAAGTATTGCATGCATTGGACGTAGCTTGTTATTCTTGGAGTGACATGGAACAGGGAGTTCAATGTAGTAGTTTGTGTTTTTCTCTTCTATGGAATTTGAAAGAAATTGTGCTAGGTAGAAAAGCCAACACTGGAGAAAGCATCATTTCCACAATTGTCTGCCATATTTGAGTAGACGAGGAGCTTTAGAAAGGCTTGGAGTACCTAATAATTCTTTAACTGGGAGTGTGTGTCTGTCTATCCTCTTTTATTTGCTTTTATTTGTCATTTGTTATTTTTTTGACAAGCCTGATATTTTTTATGGACATGCTAAACTGACATGCTTCTGTTACTAAGAAGTCATGAAGTGATAGGTGTTGTCTTATACCTAGCCTAGTGATTGTTAGGTAGATGGCACTTCCTGCACGTTGCATTCGTGTAGTTGGGTTTAGAAGAATCCAATTGTTTGAGAACTACACATTTGATCCATCATGCTATGGTCTTCTAGCGCCTGTTCTGGCGAGAGGAAATCGGGAATCTTTAATTACCTAAAAAAAAAAAGGAAATCAGGCCCCAGTCCTACCCCAACTTAGGGATTCTTACTCGCTCCTTATCTATTTTTTTCTCTGGTATCCAAACTCTAATGGATTTGACCTCACATACCACTAATCAACTCATGAGGTGATCACTCTCCTCAGAGAGAAAAAGAGATGTTGTTCAAAGACAGATTCAGAGTAAAAGAGATGCTGTTCAGCTGGGGAGAGAAAACGACTGAAGGTGTTCAAAGGCTGATTCTTTTCCTCTTCCTCATTCTCATCTCACAAGCTTCAAATCCAGTAGCCAATCGATCTTTGCTCGAATCGGTGACCATTAGTTGCGGAAAGGCCGCCTTTCAAACAACAAAAAGTATTGGATTGATTGTTTTTTGATTTTGCAAGAAATTTGTGAAATCAAAAAGTTTGAAATTTATTGAAACGCCCGAAAAATTTCAAGTTTTTCTCTCTCAGCAAAGTTT